TGGCCTGTGTGGTCTGAGGCCCAGACTTGGTGGTTAGGTGCTGGACCCCCCATGGCCTGTGTGGTCTGAGGCCCAGACTTGGCATCTTGCTCTCCACCTCCATCTCTGTTGTCTCTGATCAAATTGAAACCAGTGATAGGGCCTGGTGGTTAAGGCCCCGGACTCCCACAGAGCTGAGCACAGTTAGAATCCCAGACCTGGTGGCTTGCTCTCCTCTCCCTCTCTGATCAAATTAATAATAAATTAAAATTAAATCATTCTTTTTTCTTAAAAAAAAAAGGGAAAGAACTCTCTGATGAATGGGTAAACAAAATGTAGTCTGAGCATACAAAGGAATATTATCCTGCCTTAAAAAGAAAGTAAGTTTAGATGGGAATCAGCAATTAGCGTAATGGCTATGTCGCTGGACTCCCACGTAGTCGACCATGGTTCCAGTCCCGGACCCGGTGGCTTAAAACTCACGTTGGGCGCGTGTGCGTGCGTGCCCAAGATCCCGAGAGGAGAATGGAGGAGAAGGGATTGTGGCATGACCATCCCCCCTGGGGGTGATTTCTCGCTTTCTGTCTCTATGTCTCTCTCTGTCTGGCGAGCGCACGCACTCTATAGCAGAAACAAAAAAGAAGTAAATTTAGGGACCAGCGGTTAGTGTAATGGCTATGTCGCTGGACTCCCATGTAGTCGACCGTGGTTCGCGTCCCGGACCCAGTGGCTTAAAACTCACGCCAGGCGCGTGTGCGTGTGTGCCCAAGATCCCAAGAGGAGAAAGGAGGAGAAGGGATTGCAGCATGGCCATCCCCCCAGGGGGTGATTTCTCGTTTTCTGTCTCTGTCTGGCGAGTGCACGCGCCATATAGCAAAAACCTCTCAAAAAAAAAAAAAAAAAAAGCAAGAAAATTAAAACCAAAGGAAAAAAAAAAAAAAAAAAGGAAGGAAATTCTGGGGCCAGAAGGTATCATAGGGGTTAAGGCACTGGACCCCTACATGACCAACTAGTGTTGAAGTCCTGGACCCAGAGGCCTGAAAACCATGTCAGGTATGTGTGTGCATGGCCAAAGTCCCAAGTGGAGACTGGAGGAGAAAGGGCTGCGACCGCCAGGTGACTTTTCACTTGCCCTCTGTCCCACTCCTGCAAACGAATGCGCCTTGTGGCAAAAACCTGGGGTGGGGGGATTCCGACGCACTACAACAGGGGTGAGCCTGAGGACATTATGCTCCGTGAAACAAGTGTCACAGAGGACATGTGATTCCATGTCATAGTCCATATCTCACAGAGACAGAGAGTGTAACGGGGGCTCCCAGGAGCTGGGGCAGGACCTGGGGAGTTAATTTTGTTTTGTTTTCTTAGATTTTGGCTACAAGGTGTGTGCATTCTCAGGAAAGACAGAGAGCTAGAAAGTGAGAAATCACCCCCCCAAGGGGATGGCCACACCACAATCCCTTCTCCACTCTCCTCTCAGGATTTTGGCCACACCGTGCATACACCTGGTTTGAGTTTTAAGCTGCCAAGTCCAGGACTTGAATCAGACTGACTATATTTTGAGTCCGGCAATGTGACCATTATGCCATCTGCTGGTCCCAGGAGTTAGCTTTAATGGGGACAGAGTTTTGGTATGAGAAGAGGAACCCTCAGAGATGGATAGTGGTGATGACTGTGCAACGTGAATGTCTCTTTTCCTTTCTTTTTTTAATTTGCTAGAGGCCCGTACACTTGCTGGGGGCGAGGGAGAGAAGGTGAGAAAGCACCCATGGGTGTCGGAGACAGAAACCAGCCCAGGCCTGAAAGAGAAGCCAGAGGAAAGGCTGCAGAAGAGGGTGGAAAGCAACCCCATTT